ACTAATAAGATCACTGAGAAAGAAATCGGTCGTGTGAAAAATAGACAGTAGTGACAAACGAAAAGAAACAGAAGGAAATCAAGGCTAAAATATATGATTCATTAATACAGTACATGTTTTTAAACAATAATCAGATCATAGTTTAGTCTGGAATACGAATAAAATATCAATGAAAGTAGATCAATCAATGTGACAAAAAGTATATAACTAAAAAAGAAAACAGCAGTAATAAAACAAAAGAAAATAACAAGCGAATAATGTAGTTTCTTACATAATTTATTTCTGGAACATTAAATTTTATGATCGATAATCCGGTAGAGAATTTGGGCTAATCAAACAATAGGTATATACTTAGTTGATATTCGACTTCATTTTGTTTAACTAACAATAATGGCTGTTACAAAATATTGTTAAGGTTTATGTATATATTATACAGATAACTTATTTTTCATAGTTCACTAAGTATACCTACCGTATACGAATATTACATAACAAGTTTCGAAAAAGATTGTTGTCCGAAAGGAAGTAGCCAAAATTTCTTCGTCAGAAGTACACCATTTCTTATTATCGATACTCAAATCGTACTAAAACAGAAATGTAACTAATAATTTCTCAGAAACTGATATTTTAACCAGAAATCCTGATACCTACTTTTTTTCAGATGAAAATATCAAGAAAAGACTCCTAGATAATATGACTAGAAACTAATATCAGTAGACTAACGAAACTTAGCCAACTAAAGGAAAGATTTTTCAAGAGCAATGTTCAAGTGTTAGAAACGTTCGTATAATGAGCAATGAATTATTATGGATTACTCCACGACTTTAATATATAGAATTTAAAGATGTATAACACTAGAAAACTTTGAATACATGACTTGATGGATTCTAGGAGAATTACCTGTTATTATTACAAAGACTATGTGATTTAAACTCGAAGTAAGAGTAGCTTTCATAGTATGAAAGATGAATTACCTAATATCTGAACCGTTGTTTTGTGACTATAAAGCAAATAGTTAGGTCTTGAAAACGTTATTAGAGTAACGACACTTGATATGTTTCTGAACGAATTCTCGCTTATGACTGGACATCGGAAAAATGATACTGAAGAAGAGTAAATTAGACAATGAAGGTTTTAGATCTACATAAACTGAAGTAAATTGGTGATACATTGAACGCAACAAGTTGCAGACTATCCTGACGTGGTTGGCTAGCTGGAATGGAATCAGGATAGAAAACATCTAATGGTGAGATGAGGCATCATTTGACAAAGTTGCTAACTGTTTATTTGACTGGTAAGGAGATATATATTTAATTGGTTGGCTCATTGGGATGATAGAAATCAAAGGCTTAACACCAAGTGTGATAGGAGTTTAAACCTATCTCAATGAACTAAATGCACACCCTATTTATATTCTTATTTTTCTAAACCACTTCGCGATTCATTTAGTTTCTATCCAAATATGTTCCCTTTTATGTGCTATTCCTATGACTTAAATACAAAATACACTATGCAGATTCACTTTCCATTTTCGTCAAACTATGCGCACATAATTGTAGTATAGAATTTGTGCGTGGTGTATATCTTATTTTATAATACATGTTACGACTTAACTGTTATGTCCCGACAAGAACAATGAATGGTAACTTTTTGGATCCATTTATGGACTAATACTAAACGTATATTTCTATTGTATAATTATTAAGTAACTAAACTGTGCATATTCATACTCCTCTTATTATGAGCTTTATTTTGACCCATGAACTATTATTATACGTTTTACCATTCTTGAGTTATACTCAGTATATTAATTACTACCTCCCTCATTCACAGCCACATCTGACTAATTCTTGTACAAATGTTGTTTCATATTTTATTGGTACTTTGTGGTCTGTTTGATTGGTATATAAACTCAGTATGTTTGAAATATAGTGATTCATTTCTCAGAGGCTCGGATTGGTGTTCTGGACTTAACTGGTTGAGCTAGGCGGAAAACAGGACCAATCAGAACTCTAGGCTGCTCATATGGGTTTATGCGTCATTGATCCGATCGATAAGTCACTGCCCGCTAATCGGCGGTCACAAGTTATAACATTAACTCTGCTACGTGAATCTGCACCCATTGATTTGAACAGGCAATCAGGAAGACGAAACAAAGAAGGAACAGCGAAGCAGATTGGAGAAGTCGAGTGAGCCAACTCGATTTAACCAAAAGTGGATCGATATTTATAGTCAGATAAAAACAAGCTACAGACATGTGATGAGTAAGATAGGCAATGCACAGTCAAGGTCGACAAGCGAATAAATAACGAGGTCAAAATGTAGCTTAGGGAGAATGGATAAGTTGGTCTGTCCAGAAGCTAGAATAAATTATGTGGACCCGACACAGGACCAGCCACTACAGATCGAACAACACGAGGCCCACAAAATAAGTACATGCTGTGTCCCAATGACTCTCTAAACTAGCCTCCAGCAATTCTGAATGTAAGGACAATTTGAAAATCTTTCTCTAGTCTAAGTAACGGTAATACCATGTGAATTCTGAAGGTTCTATGATGAATTCTGAACTACCCTTGATAATTAGCTATTAAGATAGGATTCATATTCGCGAATTTTAAATTTTAGAATACCAATTTCGAAGTGTACATTCAGTGTGCTTATCCATCACTGTTTTTCAGACTTCTTTTTATATGGCTGTCTACATTCACACAACTGAGAGCTAAATTTGTTCAAGACTAAATTTTAATTAGAATCACCTTTTGCAGTACATTTGAAAAATCACTATTGGCAAACAGCTAACTGCAACAATGAACGTTCATATCCTTTTTTTTACCAATAACATTTTAAACTAAAAGCATATAATTATTAATTGTTACATTAGTTGATGATAAAACCTTAAAACCAGAATCTAGTAAGTAAAATACCATCAAGACAAATGTATGTGGTAAGAAATATATCACAGTTATGCATCTTCAGGTGTCATCAGTTCAGTTTTGGACAATATGTAATCTCGTACCACGTAAACCACAGGTATTATCGTTGATTTTACTTGTATAATATGATTTGATAGATTTGTACATTTTTGTTACTAGAAATATGAAAAATTAGATAGATCTGACAGCAAGTCAGAGGACATTAAATCTTCAAGCCCCTGATCCAGTTTCGTAGTTGTTATCCGACAAAATACAAGTTGTAAAAACCTATACGTATATTTTACACAAAAAGTAACTGTTATATTGGAGTGGATTTCGGAATTAGACTTTCAGAACAATCTTAATGGAGATTATTATTTACATTTTAATCGTATAAATAATAATAATGTAGATTATATTTGCTATATTGTCAGTTCTCAATCGATTCATAAACTGTCATCAAATGTTCTAAACTCGATAATTTACTGTTAATTAACCACGGGCCTATTGCTAAATTTTCCTTCACTTATAGCGTACTCATGTACATAATGTAATTCCCTATTTATATTCCTACATTAACAGCTATTTACTATATATTATCACAAGATTTTTGAATTACAGTTGTACGGTATTTGCTATGTTCGCGTTCTATCTGCCTATTGAGCTGAAGGCGAAGTTTAAGATATTTGCGGTTATTGAGCTAGTCGTCAATAGATTATTGTGGCGTTGGCTAAATTTATTGATAAATCTAATAAAACTAAAGACAACAAGGCGGATGTGACTACAGTTAATAAACAACCAATATTTATAAATCTCAGCTTCAAAGTTCATTATGTCGCAAGCACAATTAAAAGGAGGCCTAACACAGTATCATCCAGGACTTATTCCGAAGCCAAACTACTAATTCTACATAAAACATGTTAAATAACACAGACAAAGGTCGATAAGCACCCCTTTAGTGCTACTGTCAACTGCGTCTATAAATTTACGTGTACTTGTCAAATCAGCCACATTGGTCGGACAGAAAGACCATATCTTGGATTTATTAAACATGTTCTAAAGAGCCTTCGGGTAAGAGAAAGAACTACTTTAAATAATGCAGCCACTAAACATATCTTAGACGAAGGACACCAGATCGATACACTGCAATCTTTTAAGGTGATTAATAAACACCCGAGCTCCAAGTCATCTAAAGTTTGCTGAGGCCATTACTATCAGGCGTCAAAAACCTAATTTATGTGTTCTAAACGAGATGGTTATTGATCTTTATTTGCTTTGATGACAAATATTACTTCATTAAATCATAAAATTTTGCTCATTCTTTCAATTAATTATATCATTACATCTTTTTACTTCGAGTGTCTTTTAGATTAAGTAATCTTATTTTACCTAACTGGGTTTTACTTATCTTATTCTTACCAATTATCAGCGTTTATTCATTACGTAAACACAAGTTCTTTTGACTCTTTGTTACTGACAGTATTTTGGAATGTTCTTTTACATAAAGTATATCTTTACAATATTTTATTTAGTCGATTAAATCTATTTGCACTCTTGCTATATTATACTGTTGTGTGATCAAAGAAAATTCCAAATATTCTTTCATGTAAGTAATTTGAACCTATTTTGTAATTATCACTTTTAAATAATACAAATTGTAAGCAACTGACGAGAATCAAACAAAATAAAATGAATTAATGCTATTCTACTCAGATCTTTCTTTTTGCTCTCATCCCAAGATGATAAAGTAAGCTATGTTTGTAGTATTTTATTTCAGTCAGTTTACTGACAAGAAATGACAATGTATCTCCTTTGTATTTTTATGAAATGATGAAGTCTTCATAATAATTGTATTCAAAGCAATCATTACAATTTGTAGCTAGTTTAATGGCACACATACATAATGTAATGTTAATCCTGTGTATATATACATAACCAATTAACTAATATTCTGCTGATAGCCATATACTTATGCATATAGGGACAATTCAAATAATTGAAACTAAAGAAATTATTCACACGAAGTAGTATGATACATAAAAATAAAAATATATACATATAATTAAAAATGGAGCCCATTGTAGATTACTAATCGAAATAATCTGATAAATCAATGTCTGGATCAAGAAGACGATCTTCTAAATTAGTCAAATCAATTTGATTTAAAATTAAATTTTCTAAAGTTTCTTCTAAATCAGTCTCTCCAATTAATATTGCGCCTTGCATACGACCTGACTTCATGATACATTTGATGAATTCTCGTCCACGTGTAACACGCATTAAAAGATAAGTATCTGATGCAGACAGATTCATACCCTGACCATTGAAACGACCCAACAGAACAATCTGAAAGGAAAAGGATGAGCGGGAACTTCCAAATGAAGGAAAGCATGGTAATAAATATTAATAATTCATGAAGACATATATATATATAAACACATACATATTAACATAAACCTACGAAATTCTCGACGGCAATTTAAATTTGATTATTAACAACGAATACTGAAACAAGCCAACCTATTAAAAAGAGGTCATATTTTTGTAGCATTTAAATTCGTATGTTTCTATATCAGAGCTCGAAGAACCTAAAAACACTAAAAGCTTTATTCTTCTTTACTACATACAGGTCTATGTACTCAACTTGGAAGTAGTTGTATAGAGGCCAGTGATATTTTGGTGGCCCATTTAACTGACTTCGATTTGATCGTTTGATGTTGTCAATGACATATAAACGCCGTCTACCCTCGTACGTAATTATCGACTTAATTTGAGTTAGAGAATAACAAAATAAAATAAGTCAAATATGAGGACGAATTTCGGATACGTATCTTTCATATACTCATTACCCCAAACATACAATAAGAGAAATGAAACAGAGAAGACCGGAGGAGGTAAACATGCCAATTCAATTTGATAAAGCGTGACCCAATATTTATAGCCAGACCGAAATAAACAAAAGATATGTGATGAGTAGGATAAGCGATATACACATACATTCATATAGAAACAACTCAGGTTAATAAGCGAATAACTAACAACGTCAAAAGGTGACTCAAGAAGAATAAATTGGTTTATCAGGAACCTAGAATAGACCATGTGGACTTGGCATAGTGCTAGATGCCATAAAAACAACAGGCTCCCCAAACTATAACTGGTAAGGCAGGGTTCGAATCATCAACTTACTGATAAAAACCATTGTGCTACTGCTTCACTTATCTATCTATGTAGGTAACTGAGATGACAGTGAACAAAAATTCAAAAATGGAACTGATATAACGACAGGACAATAATATTTTCACTTACCACGATATGATGCCATAATACGATTATATGACCTAAACCCGAGACTACAATACCAATAAACTAGACACTCTATCTATGAGCGAAACACAAATTAGAATCATGTTAAACTATATTTACGAATCGCCACCAAATACAGACAGAATCAGAGTGTAGGCCAGACAATAGATCTATGTGACACAAGCACTAACAGTTCACACACATACCGTGAGTTCCGAGTAAAATTCAATAAAAGAAACTAATTAAAAATATTTATTGGTTAGTGAGTCGAACGTTTACTCGTATTCGCTCAGTGACCACACTTCAGAAACATATGGCTTAAGTCAACGGTCTGTCGACTAGAATTGTTATACCTCGTGGAAAGCAAACAAAAGGGCGATCGGAAAAAAAAGACGCAAATAATATAAATAAGAATAAACATTATACTAACAATAGCAATAAAACTTGGAGATACAAGGAAGAACCAATCTTTTTACAAAGAGTAAATTCAGTGAAATCATGAGGAATTTGTTCAGTACACAGCCAGATATAGTATGTAAATGAGTTTGTAATTGTTATGACCTACTTTGAACTTCTGATATGACGAGACAAGAAAATGACACCATTCAGGTCAATACTTTTCGTATCGATTCGCTGTGAGTTTCGGTCAGGGTGAAAGGTGTGAACTTCGTCCAGTGCGACATTTTGAGGTCATATAACATGTGTGAATTCTTGTTCACTATGACAATATCATATTCTGTGTTAATTCTGATGAACTATACTTAGTGTATGTTTTAACGGTAATTTTATATATTTCTCTCCCCCCATATGATACTATTAAATGGGTGTGAAATTTAATACAGGAATGATTGTAAAGTGGTCTAAAGATAATGTGATTTCGAGACTTGTTTGGCGAAGTGTTCTTAGGCACTCAACAAATCTTGATTGAACCAGACTTTCATTTTCTCACTTTGCGTCGTGGGAATTGTAGTGGCTTTCATTTTCCAGCAAAAGCTCCGTGAATTGCAACGGTGTTCTGATTGCCAAGTAAAACCAGTAAGACTAAGGACTCAACAGAGTCGATACGCATATAACAGCGATGACTCCCCAGATGTAACAGTTGGCTACACAGTTGAAACAGTGCTGACGGACCCAATTTCCCAGCTATAAAAGTGGTAATTGGGAAATAACAGCTTTAAACACCGGTTTCAGTACAATCTAATCCAGTAAAGTCAAGTACAATCAAATTCAAGAGCAGTAAGACGAATTATCGTGATTATATAATCATTCAAAGTAAAACAAGCTAAAATTTGATTACTGATAATGCTGATTCAGATATAAACAAGTGGTTCAAAACGAAACAAGTCACCTAAAAAAACATGCGACACTTTAATTTTCACTATTTGTTAACTAACATTTTCTGTCCATCTTGCATGCGAAATGAATAAGAGTATTTTATTGCATCCATCAGTTGTTCATGACACACAAACACGAACAGAAAAAAGAAACTGCATAGTGAAAAATAGTCACTGTAAATGTTTATACTACGATATACATTGCCTAGTATCAAAAATAACTCACCTTAAATCCAAAAAAGTAAGTCACATGAGTGAAAAGTTCGAAAGAAAAATCCAGCGGGATATTGTGGTCTCCTCGACTATGGCAAAACATAGACTTAGCAGCCTAAAGGTACAAAATACCAAAAGTAGCGCGAAAATATGAGAACCAAATAGTGAAATTTACGGGATTGTAGGAGCGCACTCCTAAGTAGGTTAGAAATACTTCCAAACAAAAAACTAATGAAGATCACCTAATTTTGTTCTGTTATTCAATTTTGTATTCTACCCAATGAAGTAGTACATTTAACTAACGTAGATCCCAAAAATCAGTTATAGGTGTACTTAGAAAAAAGTGTAATACCACTTTTACTCGTGAGTTGATAAACTTCTAGCAACGTTCGACGTTTACTTTTTACGCTACTTTTGAGCAGCTAAGTAATATAAGATACGGCGAAAATGGTCGTCTTCAAAGATCGAAAAGATCATATTGATAAATGACTCATTTTAAAAACATGCAAGTTCTCTAAAGAAACAACTTAAAAAAGTACAACTCATCAAGTTGAACAGAAATTTACAAAGAATCTTCAGAAAGGGTAATCGATTATCAGTAATAGATGGATGAATGTTATCAAACATTTTAAGCAAATTATCCTTTTCATGCTCAAGAATAGCAATAACACAACATTTCTAAATGCCCTACTAACAAGAAGAGTAGATACGACATTAAAAAGAGGGATATAAACAAAGCCTACAGTTGGACAATATACTCATTTCTATATTGCTGTACCGATTAGATACAAAAGCAATTTAGTAAGGATTCTGACTCATCGTGCTAGGATGATTTGCTCTGATGACACGATCGCAGATTAATTGAATAATATTTTTAACCTGCTTAGAAGGAATGGATATGCAATGAAATTCATCAACAAACACGTGAATATCATGAACTTATTTATTTATTTATTTGAACATATAAATATTGGTACAAGAGGACACCAAATATATATGCGCCACACAAAACAATGCGAATCCGAAGAGAGAGAAAAGGTAAGGAGCGTAAAAAAAGAACAATGACGAACAGATTAATGTAAAGTAGTGTAATAGTAATAAAAAAATAAATAATAATAATAATAATAATAATAATGGGGGAAACGGAAAGTTACAATCAGAAGAAATCTTTCAGTTAAGGAAGAAACAACTACTTTTTATGAAAAAAAAAGTAAAAAAAGGTTACAGCGGGGTCGCCACTGGCTTTTATTCTGAGCCATATCTGATAACGTCTCTAGCCACTGTGTTGCACCATCTCTAGGACCCCAACCAGGGAGTCGTGAAGGACCAACAGAAGCCAGTCATCTGCAGCCTTCTTTCATACCACGACACTATGTCATACACAGACCACCTCTCCGCTTTTTCCAACCAGTTCCAGCGTCGAAAAATGATGCACGACGTGGAATTCCCTGGGACGACATTCGTAGAACATGTCCAAGCCACCGAAGATGATGACACCAACCGGATTATCGTCTGTGTTACGTATGCCCGAACACCAATTACCTCGACGTGCAATGCTAACCGGTGTTGGAGATAGTTGGAAGAAAGTTAGGGGCGGCCAAACCAAAACGTGGCATCAGTCCATGAAGTCACTGACTTCTAGTCTTAGCCATGTTGGTAGATGCTGACTACTTGGTTGGCGTCCACGTGACTATCGTAACCAATGGTTGGAGACTCTTGGTGACATGGCTCAGAATCGATCACAATGGCGTCGGTGTGTACACTCTCTGTCTTCCCTTAAACTAAGAGATTAAAATCGCTTCATATCCTTCTTTCTACGAACTAATTCTTTCTTCGTGTACTATATCCTTATTGCAATCTTTCTTTTATATATTACCACCTCTGAATTAACTACTTTTATGAATCCGGTGTCCATCTCGTTGTGTTAATGAGGTATGATGACTTGGACCAATGAATACATGTGCCTGGTCCTACATTGTAGCTGACTGACTGACTGAATCTCATCTGACTGCAAATAATTCATATTACAACATAAGGTATAAAATAAAATTCTACATTTATTATGACATGAAATAAATTGTACAACATGTGAACAATAATTATATAATTTCATCTGTGAACTAGAATTTCGTTTGGAAAAAAATCACACAATTAAATTCACATAAAATTAAAACAATATAAAATTGAAATTATGAACCGATCAATGCAAAGCTGCCATTGAAAACCTGAGAGCATTGGACGGCCGTTTTGTTCTAGCGTTGGACTCCTCAACAGTGCGCATCCATGACCCCGCAACCGGGACTCGAACCCAGGACCTTCGGTTTCACACGAACGCTCAACTTCTAGATCATTGAGCCGGCATCAAACGGTGTTCCTGTCTAACTTCAACCAATCCACGACATTTCATCCAATTAAGATTATACCAAATATCAAGGTCAGCAGTTCATGTAAGACACAAACAAAAAATGCAACCACGAAAAAATCCAGCAAAATTCAGTTAATACTATGAATTCATTCCTGTAGAGCTTATTTCAAAAAGTACAATTTGTTATGATTTTCAATCCAGTTGGTGATTAATGGATTCCTTAGTAAAATTGCATTACAATTAGTCAAAACTATTAACATCATACATTAAAAGATTTACAAAATTGCACATACAGTTTTACGCATACAAAATATCGTAAATAAACGAACATCATAGCATATATTCGTATACAGGTAACAATGAGAAAAAAGTTTGCAAAACTCACTTGAAATCCCATTTGTCTAGCTTGACTCCATAATTTCATTTGAAACCAATGTGGAGACCATGTCCAATTGGCATATGCACAGTCTCCTGCTGCATACACATCTTTCCAATTTGTTTCCATTTGTTCATTTACTAACAGACCACCACCATGTTCCATAGAGGCGCAATGAAATAAAGCATTTAAGTTAGATGACTCTGTGATTTCAGTTCCTTTATTATTAATGTTATAAGTATTACCAGTATTATGAGTAGTATTATCCACGTTGCTAGGACTTCTGTTTAGTGGATTTAAATTTGCTTCAACGCCAACTGCACTTACAACTAAATCGCATCCATAAATTTCACCATTTGTTAACTCGACATAAACTGGCCAATCATTAACGGATAACACATTATCATTGAGCTTGTTTGTAAAAGGCAGGGTTTCTAATCTATTTAAGTCATGAAACTCTTCTGGAGATAAAAACTGTTTGATTTTGGTTTGATAAACTACCTGTAAGAAGTAATTAAATGAAGTAGATATACGTGATAAATCTTATTGGTAAAAAAGTTTCCAAATTATTAGTAATATTTTTAACCTATTTATATATCAGATGTAAAAGCAGTTAAATAAAATGGATTCTTAATCTTCAAACATTGCTCTAATTGTGTCATTCATTATGCATCACTATAATATAGTAAAACATGGTAACATAGAAATTCAGTTGAGTAATTTATAGCTAGTAAAATGGACACACATTAAGTATATAATACCGATGAATGCATACTTTAAGTAGTCTACCATCGACTGTATTGACAAGTCGTCCATGTAATTTGCGTCCATATGCCCAATCTGGACCTGGAGCAGCACCAGCAACTGATGATTTACCGATATCCAATTCGTACGGATGCTGTTGATCAGGAACAAGCATGAGATGATCTTCTGAAGCTTTTGTGATATCTTCTGATTGGCGTTCCTCAGCCACAATATAACGCATGCGTCTGATTTGTGTATCCTCTGAGATTTTATCTCCAGATGGTCTGGAACTAACTTCAGCTTTCTTCTCAACAGAATCATTTTGCTTTGAAATTTCTCTTGCTTCTAATAAAAATGTGGCAGCCACTGAGTCAAGAAATGGTGTGCTAATGCTGCTGTCTTTAATAACCCAAATAATTTGACAACCAGAGACTTCATGTGCGATCTCTGTTGCTATACCTCCATTCCCAACTAACACCATACGACGAGTGCCTAAGCAGAAAAGATAGAGTGAAGAACAGATGTACTATAATTTTTGTGATGATTCATAATGGATTTCTAGCCACTAAACATTGAGTTTGGAACTCTCACAAACCGGACTGTTAAGGAAACAAGCGAAGATGAAAATGAAGTATGGGAAACAATACCTAGTCGATGTGTGTCATTTCTCGAGATACCTAGAACACTAAATGGATAGTTAAGAATCTAAAACCACTAAGTGATCAAATAAATCAAGCTTCTAACATCTGACGACATGAAAAAAAGATCAGGTTCATGATCTAATATTCCTATAAAATTCCGAAATTCGAAGTCTTTTACGATTATTAGAGGTATACATGTATCTGAAGCAATTGACACAATAACTTAAGATTAAAATGCTCTATCGTGGCTGTACAGGACTGACTTGTTTTGATCCTCCGAGACTCCTTGGTTGGGGTCCTAGAGATGGTGCAATACATTGACTAGAGACGTTACCAAATATGGCTCGGAATGGAAGCCAGTGGTGATCCTATGGTAACTTTTTTTTACTTTCTTCACAAAAGTAAACTTTTTTAGTCGAAAGAATTCCTTCTGGTTGTATTTCTCCTAAATGAACTATTTTTCCCATTATTATTGTTATTATTATTATTATTATTATTTTTATTATTATTATTTCACTCTCATACACTAACTTCTGTTCCCTGTTGTCCCCTTTTTTATTATACGCACTTTGCATTCTGTGTCTCTTCACAACATCACTGTTATTGTGTGGCACGTATGTATTTGGTGTACCAATGTTTATCCGTTCAAATAAATGAATCTTGTTGTCAGTGGTTTGTGTGAGTTGGAAGATCCTCCGGCAGTTTCAAGACGCAGATGCTGCTTCCAACTTGTTAGCGTGCACCAACCATAAAGCTTCTCGGTCCTTAGGCAAACTATGAACAATTTTCTGATGTAAGAATATACGTTTTGATATGGCGAGTAATAACTTAATCAATCGGAATGCGAATGATATACGAAACCGACCTTTTTTCCAACCGCGTGTGACGTTTATTCACTGCTTAAGAAGGATTATAAATGCTTGATCACACCATATTGCAAATGTGTTCATACAGTAAGTTAGTGAATTATTGTTGTTAAATACAAGTCAGTTCAATTTCTACAAATCTGACTGTTAATCTAATTGTAAATAAATCATAAAAAGTGGTGCATTTCCAAATCATTCTGGTTTATTTCTGGAGTTAAATAAACCCTTATAACCAGTTCCCGTGTCTTTTCTCTTGTGCTCAAGTTGCTGTGTGGATTTAGTCTGGTGTCACTGAAAGCAGCTAGGAAATTGAATTAAGCATCCAATTAGCAAAAACATCATGTTTATCGTTAGCCGGAGTAGACCGACATGCCTCAACGATTTGAAAGGAGAATGTAGAAACCAAGTCCTTATAAGTGGGACCTTTCGCGAAGCCGCAAGTGACTTTATTCGCCATTTTGATAGCCACATGTAACTACAGCCAGTCCTCATCTATACATTTCGGTGTGTTGATAGATAGCCTTGAAATTTTCTCGACTAGATTACCACTTGCAACAAAACGTGTAACCGATTTCCTTGCACAGATCCGTTTAGGACGATGAATTTGTTGGCCACTGAAACATAAGATAAGATTTGTGCAAGGGAGGTTATGATCAGGGCCGAAGGAGCGAAGGTTTTGTTCACAACCACGCCAGCGGTGACTGCCTACGATTTGAGTCTAGGCCTGAGCTGCAGAAAAAGGACACCAGGTAGCACATCGGCGATGATTGTGCTGATAGTTAGTGCTCGTCATGAACAGGTTGTAGTCTACGCAAAGTTGCAATAGACGGCCATTTTTATCTGACCTGTGACCAACAAATTCACACTAGCTACTTAAATGATTCTTCTGTGCCTGAACGTCCAGACTGTACATCTAAATCTCCAAATAGTGCTACGATATCTGACGAACGCGGTTTCTGCAGACCACTTAATTGGTGGCAGAACTCACTCTTGATTACATCCGGGCTGCAATATTTCTGGGTGTAGGCGGAGATAACGGATACATCGTCTCTCACACTTCTCAATTTGATGGAGCTTTCTAAACTAACAGCACACAATCGACTGTTAATGAGGGTCTAATGAACTAATGCAACCTCTGCTCTAGCGCTCAGTGAGACACTTACACCAACCAAACCAGACGAAAATGCCGCAAAGCCCCGGATAAACGCAAATAAAACAAGCTTTTCGAAGCGACAGATAGAGAGCGAATTTGTAGTACATCACTATTCTTGAATAAAGGCCTCGAACAGACAACAGACATCAATGTTAAGACTTTCTAAAGACATTGTCAATCCTATGTGTTGTCATATCTGCATTTATTATTATTATTTTTATTTGAACACATAAATATTGGTACAAGAGAGCGCCAATATATATGCGCCACACAAAACAATGGGAATTCGAAGAGAAGTAGAAAGAAAAAAAAAAGAAGAAGAAAAAAAACTAAGGAACGCAAAAGAAAGAGAGAGTAATGACGAAGAGGTACAATCAGAAGAAATCTTTCAGTTAAGGAAGATAAAACCACTTTTTATGAAGAAAGTAAAAGAAGGTTACAGCAGGATCGCCACTGGCTTCTATTCTGAGCCATATCTGATAACGTCTCTAGCCACTGTGTAGCACCATCTCTCGGACCCCAGCCAGGGAGTCGTGAAGGACCAACACAAGCCAGTCCTTTGCAGCTTTCTTTCATGCCACGACACCATGTCATGCACTGACCACCTCTCCGCTTCTTCCAACCAGTCCCAGAGTCGGCAAATAATGCACGACGTGGAATTCTCTGGGACGACATTCGGAGAACATGTCCAAGCCACCGAAGTCGGTGTTTCAAGATGGTGACACCAATTGAGTTATCATCTCTGTGCCCGAACACACGATGCCGAACCTCTGCATTACTGACATGGTGTTGCCACTGAATGTCAGCAATCCTTCGGAGACAGCGATGATCGAACACAGAGAGTCGTCTAACGTCCTCAACTCGGAGAGGCCAGGTTTCACAAGCATAGAGCAAAACTGCTCTCACCGACGCGTTGTGTATCCGGCCTTTTACAGCCAGACTAACATCACGAAGGCGCCAAAGGTGGCCCAGATTGGCCTAAGCCGCTCTGGCTTTCACTATTCGTGCATTGATCTCATCACTCACACCCCCACCAGCACTTATGCAGCTACCCAGATACACGAACTTCTCGACTACGTCTATCTGCTCACCATCCAGGGTGAGTACAGGATTGGAATCCTGCCAGTCTTGTAGAAGTACTTTGCACTTCGAAGGTGCAAAGCACATACCATACCTACGGACATTGATTGCCAACTGATTAAGTGTGGATTGCATGCCTTGGGCATTATCGCACAGTAAGACAATATCGTCCGCATACTCAAGGTCGAGAAGTCTTTCTCCAGGCAACAGATCCACACCACCATTACTTACATTCATCAGAGCTGTTTCCAGAATGTCATCGATGTCAAAGTTGAAGAGGAATGGTGAGATTGGGCAACCCTGCCTAACCCCACTGCTCGAATGGAACAATGGAGAGAGGTGGTTGTATGCCCTCACTCTGCCTGAGGTGTTTTTATACAGGGCTTTTAGGATGTTAATAAACTTCTCAGGCACACCCTTCTTCAATAGACAATCCCAGAGAACAGTCCTATCCAACGAATCGAAGGCAGCCCTGATGTCAAGAAACACTACGATTGCTGGCCTTTGAAAAGTATGGCGGTGTTCTAACATTTGGCGGAGGGTGAAGATATGATCAATACATCCTCGACCAGAACGAAACCCAGCCTGCTCCTCGCGAGTCAATCTTTCTCGGGTTTTGAACAACCTACGAAGTATGACGGAAGCCAATAGCTTGGACGTAATCGGAAGTAGACTTATATCCCGATAGTTGTTACAGGAACGACGTGAACCCTTTTTAAAGATAGAGACAACTATCGACTCATTCCATGACGTTGGTACACTCTCTAGTTCCCAAACCTTTGTAAACAACGTCGTCAATTCCTTAGTCAAAAAGTCACCACCATCTTTAAAAAGAGCCGGAGGTAAGTCATCTGGGCCAGGTGATTTGTAACGCTTCAAGAGTTGGAGTTCCTTGCGGACTTCCTCCTCATTTGGTGGATCAGTCGTCACCGGCCATGGAGGGCAGGACAGTCTGACCGATGTTGCCGGAGCAGCAGGCCAGTTGAACTGCCCTTCGAAAAATTCTGCCCATCGTCCAAGACGTCGATGGATGTTAGTGATTGGCATCCCATCATCCTCGCAGATTGTTTCACTCACACCAGACTTCTTGCTGCCAGTGGCTCGGATGAGTTGGAAGAGCTTCCGGTAGTTACCAGATGCAGCTGCTGCTTCCAGCTCATTAGCACGCTTCGACCACCAGGCTTCTCGGTCCTTACGCAAGCTTTGCCCGATTTCCTTACGTAAAATCCTTCGTTTATGGTCAAACTCACGGTTACCCGGAGTAGACCGACGGGCATAGTTTCAGCATTCGTATTCAATTAAAGTATTCAATTTTCGACTGGTCAAATACTTCAGATCGTTTAAATAGGAATGGATTCCTACCATAGGCGAGCTGTTGTATGAGTTAAAAATAAAGGAATACACAAAACGAGAACAGACAACTTATCCATTGTAAAGTATAAACGAATATTACCAAATAATTGTAAATACGATTTGTGAGAGTGCGAATTGAAGCGAGAGTTAATTTTTTTAGTTCTGACCATCATCTGATTTGTGTGTGAGCTAGGGTACAGCCTAGGCGCCCAAACAAAACAGGTGATTTTCTTAGGGAGCCACTCCCCAATCCTTCGACCCAGATGTCTAATCCACAGAGCAATGAAGCGATGTTAAGAGATGCGGTTTAATGGTAACCGGTGACCAAGAATAGGTTCGTAGGCTATTTGTGCCCACAAGATTCTGGGGCTCATGTCCGCCATTGGTTTGGAACCAGGAGATTGATTGATTGCGGCCAGCAATGGAGTTCAGAATGAACTTTTTGTCCACTTAGGAACTCGTCGATTTCAATCAGTCAGCGACAACAACGAACTTCGTATGTACGTACATCAGTTCAAGTCGCCAAACCATATTACCATAGATGTACAATTGTGGATTCAAATCCCATAGTAGTAGAGGTAGTAAAAGTACAAGCAGTGATTAGAAAGATTAGGGTTCGAAAATGTTATTCAAAAAGTATAATCCAGTGAAATAAATTTGGAAAGAGAAAAAAAAGAGACAAGGAGAATTCAGGAGATTAGAATTTGGGAGGACACAAAGAGTGTATGCACCTGCGCCATTGCAAACGATTTTGAGCCATGTCATTCAAGGTCTACAACCATCGGTTGCCATCGTCTCGCGGATTCCAACCAAGTAGTCCATGCCTTCATGGACTTGTTCCATGTTTTGGTCTGGCCATCCCTAGCTTTCTTCCAACCTACTCCTATACCACTGAACATCGCACGTCGAGGCAGTCGGTCGTTGGGCATACGTAACACGTGTCCCAGCCATCTCAACTGATGAAGTTTCACTACTTCATCAATTAATTTGCCATCCTTACCTGGTAAGCATTTCCTAACAACTGTATTACTTACTCGATCGTCCCAAGATATACGAGCGATGTTTCGAAGACACCTGTGATCAAATACTGGTAACCTACGAGTATTCTATACTCTTACCAACCATGTTTCACTGCCATAAAGTAGGACGGAACAAATTGCTGCACAGTAAACCCGTCCTTTGGTTGATAGACGGATATCTCGCCTACGCCATAAATGACGCAAGTTGGCAAAAGCTAGTCGAGCCTTCTGTATCCGTGCTGAGATTTCGTCACACACCAGACCACAAGGGCTGATGAGACTTCCAAGATAAGTGAAGCGATCGATACGCTCAATTACTTCACTTCCTATCATCAGTTCGGGTGTCAATGCAACCCAATCCTGAAGCAACATTTTGCATTTCGAAGGGGAGAATCGCATCCCGAACATGCTTGCATTGTTGCTTAGAGTGGTCAGAAGACTCTGCATTTTGTCAGCGTCTTCACCAAATAAAACTATGTCATCAGCATATTCTAAGTCAACAAGTGAACCTCCCGGTAGAAGTTCAACCCCTGGAAATTTAGACGAGAAGAGTGTTATCTCTAAAAATACGTCGACCACAAAGTTGAACAAGAATGGGGAGAGTGGACAGCCCTGACGAACACCACTTGAGGTAATCAATTCTGATGACAGTTCGCCATAAGTTCTCACTCGACCAGTTGTGTTCGAGTAGAGAGCCTTTATAAGGTTAATGTACTTCTTTGGTACTCCTTTAAGTGACAAACACTGCCACAGTTTTTGAGCACCTATCAGCGGGGTAGATGCTGCTGAGATCCAATATTTCTCCCTAACCTTATGGTTAACCTTATTAGCAGATATCAGTGCTGTTTCTAGTTCTTCGGATATCATTCCAAGCGGCCTCGCTGTGGGTATCACTTACACGGCTGCCTAACTGTTTTCCTAGTTGTTTCTGGAATATATTCTTAGCTTAGCTATCATTAAGCAGAATCCTAAGGGGTTTCCTTCCAGCGTCTTTCCTACGTCCAATAAAATGCAGACAAATACGCGCTCGCATTAGAGCATGATCTGAATCTAAGCATGTGCTCCGGAACGAGCGACGGTCTTCTACCGAGCCCCTCCATTGGTGGCTGATAGCGACGTGAGGGGCTCGATAGAAGTTTGGTGTACCTCTGTTATGGTTTCTCTTGTTATGACCCAGCTACTCTTATTGCTTAGTATTCTTGGAAACTACTTCACATAACAAGTCTCTAAATCAGAACACGGTTGAACAGAAACGTACTTATGTTCCCCAACACAATCTCTAACGGAACATGCTTTAATCTAATCTATATACCATTGTAGTGAACAAGAATAACAGTGGGGACAACAGAATGTGTTTGAACACAAAATTACAGAATCTCAGTAAAATCTGAGAAGTATGCAGTGAATACTTCATCTGAAAAATGTCAATCAATTGTCTCCGACTTGATTGTTACTATTATTACTATTATTAATGGCTTTATTCCTTCATTTCCACACCAACCACTCTGTTTTTGTTCCCTTTTCCTTAATCTTCTTAACCTTCCGCCGCCAGGCATTTCACCTTACATTGATGATACATGCTACTTATATCTGTCGACATCAGTAGCATACACTACACCACTAAAAAAATCCTCTCTTAGCAAATAGGTAAGATCCGGTGTTAGAGTCCACCTATGACCGTGCGACTTTTTCGTGCTTCCGATTTATCCACCGTCTAAGCAATAAAGAAATAGTATCGCTCTTTGCTTGTGCATAGACTGGCATTGCTGTTTCAGAGGCTTCGATTTCAAAGGTGTCCAGTAGAACATTAAGAGGTATTCTATTTCAGGTCTGGTTTATGTCAATCGAAGTTGTTTTCGGTTGGGTAGCATGACACACAAACGTTTGAGCCAACTGACACCTCGTAAACCACACTTTCTTTCTTTTGCACGATTCGACCAGCTTTCTATGTACGATGTTTATCACGACAGTCCATAATAGGTACTTTTTGACCCACAGTGAACAATCGTCTTTGCGCCCCATATCCGTTGAATCACTACTCTATCGATGTCTCGTTGAGGATCAAGAGCTGGCGTCGAATGAATGACATTTAGATGTGTTCGTATTTTTCAGTCAAGTAAAGCTACTGTTAGAGGGACCCCGTTAATTGTCTGAGGGTTTGGTGTAGGTCAGGAACCTCTCTAAAGTCTCTTCAGTGGTCCCCTCTCCTTTTGATCTTTTACAGAACATTTCTAAATGTACCAACGTTGCGTTCTACTTGGCCATTGGATTAAGGATGGAATGAAGGCTGTTCGGACATAATTGATTCCGTTCTGACGACAAAAATTCTGAGGAGATAACAGATGCAAACTGTGCTCCATTGTCGCTAACTATTAGTTCTGGAACCCCGAAACGACTAATAAATGGCATAGTTCTCCGACTATGTCGTTTGCAATTGGCTGTTCCGTCAGGAAAATTTCTGGCTACTTGATAATATGCATCATTTAACAAAAGGTAAGTTTGTCGATGAAGTGGACCAGCAAAATCCAAGTGTATATGCTGCCACGGTGACTGTGGTATTGGCCATGATTGCAACTCTGCTTTCCATAGTACCTTTGTTACTAGTGCACATTTGGTACACAACCGAGATATCTGCTCCAGTTGGGTATCTAAATGCGGCCAGTATACATAACTTCGTGCTAGCGTTTTAATACGATTTATTCCGGGATGTCCTGCGTGCAACTGTTCAAACACTGCTGGTTGCAGCTACGTTGGGATTATGACACGTTCAGCAGACAGAACGCAGTCATCGATGATTGAGACAGTCTGCGCTGACAAAACTGCTGAAGCTCTGCGGAGCTGGTGAGTGATCTAGTAGCATGAGTAATTGCTTTTCCTGATTTGTCCGGAAACACGTGAGATATCACTGATCCAGCTCCACAATAATGTGAAATACAATCTTAAGCACACCACATTATTTTCCTCACGATCTTTGTTCCCTCTTACCTTCCATTGGTTTAGTTGACTTTTCATTTTTCATATATAAGTGTTCTTAACAAATAAATGCGTGATCAGATTTTTTTAAATGCATTGAGTTAACATATCACATGGTTCTGATAGGCTTCATCTTATCGCACTATATAAATTTACTAAAGGAATGAATTGATTTGAGTCAGTGAGATAAACGATTTGTTAGAAGGCGTAGAACATCCTAATAAACTATGACGATCAAGTCCCACAGCTTAATTGGACAAAAAAAACTGGGAGAAATTTATTACCCCATCATTTATCAACTTTCAGGGTTCAGATAAACATACCAAAGGCATTTAAATTAGAGTAAACTGTTAACACAGATACATAGATCTTAAAGAATCAGCAGTACGACTAGTACGCTTAATTACACAATAAAAACTATGGTAATGCTCAAACACTGCTTATTATAATCAAACTTCACGTATATGCACATTATTTAAGAATGATTAATTAGTTCCATGAAGGTCTAGAATGTGGATCAAATAAGTCGCCGTTCTAGTCAAATGTTATAAAGTACCTTCTTTATGTCAGTCTTTTCACACAATAAGATTAAATCGTCTTAATGATACGAACTGATGACAAAATTAATGCACATGAAGTATTTCAGTATAATCCATAAATAACCATGTACTTACCCAGTAGACGGTGTTGAAAATTTTTGATGCTCTCTGTATCCCGTAGACCAATAACATATGGGTGCTTCGGATCAATAAGCCGCGGAACACCGCCAGTTGTTAGACATAATTTGTCATAAAAAATTGGATTCTCATAACCACGTTGTTGTAAATAAACAGTATGACTAGAAGGACTGAATCCAAAAATGTAATGAGAAAATTAAATTTTGTATATGTATATATATGAAGAAAATGACTGAACAGATCAGTTAGAACATATTGATAACGAAGTGAAATTTTACAAACTTCATCGATAAAGGCCTCCCTACCTTGTTGTGCTAATACATTGTTTGATTCTGAAATCCTTAACATTGATTTGCTAGCTTTCAAAAGATTCTCAGGCGTAAATTCATGTAATGATTGGTAACAACGAAAAATTAACGAGAACTCGATCGTTAAGCCAAGACGGAAATGATACCTCTAATTAAAGCAAATAATGAGTTTTGTCAATATCAGACACACAGGACATAAGTATGGTTACTGTTATATCCTAGCGAAGATTAAATTACGAATAACTTCTGAAACCCATTAATGGGCTAATATTATAAATATATACTCATATTATATAACTGTTCATTAACTAGATTGTGTATATTTATATTCCTCTTATTATAAGCCTCATTTTGACCTATAATTTATTATTATACGATTTACTATTCTTAAAGCATACTCAGTTTATTAATTACTGTCTACCACGTTTACAGCCACTTTCTGGCTTTATTGTGTATAGATGTTATTTCCTATTTTATAGTGCGATGCGGTCTGTTTGGTTGGTATATAAACCAAGTATGTCTGAAATAAATGATTCGCATAGTGGAAGCTGTTATTGGTGTTCTGGACTCAACTGGACGGGCTAGGCGAGCAAAGGACCAATAAGGATGCTAGGCTGATCAGACCGGGGAAACGTCATTGGCGTAGTACAGTACAAGAGTGAATAAGTCGTATTTCGATTGGCGAATAAATTACATGATAACTAGCCGAACTGAAAGTCACAGCAGTTACCCACTTAGTCACAAATGATGGATTTATGAACTGTCGTAATCCATCTGTGGAAGTCTGAGTATTCACCCATCAGCCCTGCACGGTGTGCAGATGTAAATGAAACACTAAGTCTATGGGAAAAAGGAAATTTTTGAACGGTTTACAATGGATAGTCACCTCGAAATACTAGTATGATATGGATTTAGAAGTATCCCTTGAACAAAGCGCCCATTTTTACCATAGCTTACGAGCCCACTAACTAGAACTCACATGAGATCAAAAACAAATCTTACTGAAAACTGTCAAGTTAACTGCATAATGCAAGGTAATCATATTAGCAGGCGACTATAATGAATACTATGAGAATCGTAAGGATCTCATAAACCAAGGATATCTATTTTTCTCTGACAAGCACTTGTTCTTAGCTAACACAAAGAAAAATATTGTCTGACTAAATAGTCAGCAACATTAACTCAACAATGAACACATATAGATTAATCACTGTAAGCCATTGTTATCCGACGCAAAGCAAGTGGTTTTCTTACGTAACTACACTTCGGGACATCGACCCGTAAGTATACTGAAAAACGTGTTAACGCGACATTAAGAGAATCCCTATGTTAAACGGACATCTACACTTTCCATAAATCTATCATACGTGTAAAGCACATAGGACAAACACATACGCTATACTATTTGTGCTGTAACGAACATAAATAAACAATGAAAGTGTTTAGAACTAACCTAGGACACAAGTGCTTAAGCTATGTCTCAGTGTTCTTCATATTCCTCTCTGACCGATCAACCTATAAGATCTAAACCCAATATCCCTGAATCGGCTAATTAGTCAGTCATAAATAAGCGTAGTTCCACGTAGCCACTCCTCGTTGTAGTCAACAGCAAGTTTTTTTAAATCCCTTCTCAATTAGCCTCCTTGATATAATAGGATTTTAAGGAACAAGTGTTTCAATCAATAAATACCGATTGGGTAATCACATGTAATTAAAGAAGCGTCTACAGTCAAGAATTCGATTTGATCAGTGAGGTAATAATGTTATTCATCAAAAATAGGTATTGTCATAATATGACAATCAAAATGATGTACAATAACTATCAAGTTTGTGTTTGGTCACCAACGTCCGTAGTGTTATTTAGCTTGATGATAGCATCAACGGGATAAGATTGAGGTTGGATGAAAATTTTTTACTAATGGTGGTACTATTATTATTATTATTTTAACACATAAATACTGGTACAAGAGGGCACCAAATATATATGCGCCACACCATATTTGTGTGGGGGGGCTGTGATACTGCCCGAGTGCCCAGATCGAAGCAGGTGGTTATCTTAGGGGGCCACTCCCCGAGCCTTCGACCTAAAGGTCTGATCCACAAGGCAGTGGAGCATCGTAAGAAGATGCAGTCCCATGGAAGCCGGTGACCAACAATTGGTTCATACGCCATTTGTTCCCGCAGGGTACTGGAGCCCATGTGCACCATTGGTTTGGAATCCGGTTAAAGCGCCGGACATTCGCTTTTCGTCCTCTCATTTTTGTGAACAACACCCCCGCCACGAGAAGGCAGTGAGTAGGACTTCCCTAGCAGAGGCTTTATACGCGTGGCCGTGTGACAGCATTTCGAGAGGGAGGGCGGGCCCACCCCACTCTCGGCCATACCAGGGCATTTGGGGGCAATGGTGGTACATTATATGATATTTCTGTAATCTTATGTCACAACAGTGTGTGATGCACACCCTTAACAAATACTAGTCATGGCTATGGTGAGTGCAAAATAGAGGACGATACATATTCCAAACAACTTATAATGCTAATCAATTAAGTTAAGAAATATTGGATTAATTTGCATAAGACATTCGGATTTATTCCGTCGATGACACTGCAGCAAGTGCACATCGTCCTGGTTTTATGATAACTCTTTGTTTATTTACATACTCTATTCTAGCACTGCTTGCTATTCACTTGACCATTAGGTACACTATTCTACAAAAATGCAGAGAAATATAGTCATTTAATCACTCAAAAATAACAAAATATTTTAATTAACAGATAAAAGGTATATCAAAACCACGGTCCAGCATCAAACTTACATTTGGACACTTTTCCTTAAGAAAATGGTTTAACGAATGACATAACTAATACCAGCGACTAGTATAAAGTATCAAGTAAATAGAACTCACTCTAGTTTTATCACTGTATCACAGATTACGGTTAACGTGTCGGGCCATGTTTCAGACCATGAACTACCAGATTTCTCCTCAATATCAAAAGTTTCGATCATATTGCTTATTCGACGTAGATTGACTGTAGTTTTCACAGTTTGAGAAGCAGATATCAATGCTACACGTTTAGATGCATAGTTTAGATGACCCGACGATGACTGGAGAGCCCCAGAAAACCTGCTTGGATTTAAGAGTTCGCATAATGTTTCAGCACACACAACACCAGCAATCCCACCTCCAATAATAACATAATCGAAATGATTCAAATCCTTTGCAGTAAAGGCAGAGGACATTGTTACTAAAAAAGATTAAGTGCCCTAGAAACAAATGAAGGGGAAAATGATGATCAATTAAACTTTACTAGTCCATTCAAGTTTAATTATCGACTACACATTAAACTGTTCATAATCAAAAATATAAATCTGATTTACAAGGAAACAACATTTACTCTGTGTGAAATTTTCTAGTAACAATAAGAAACTGATTAGTTGAGAAAGTGAATAAAATATAGTCACAATGGTGGTAATAAGCTACAGCTGTCAAACAAAAACTAGTGGCTTTAACGAACTTTCAAAGCACATTGCAATGAGCCTTCCCATTTATGTGTTCATTTAAAGGAACAATTGTGAAAGAAGCCAAAATACCAATGATCATCTGACATGGGGACCATCGAAACTAACTAGACGGATGCAAGTAGATCATATTATCGTCATTTATTGCTTAAGATTTAGTGGAAGGCTAGTGCTCGTTCTGCAGTACATTTCTGTTAAACATGATCAAGCTGTATTGTGAAAACGCGTTCTCATGTAATATTGGATGACAAAACTTCAAGAAATACACTTAAAGCTCAACTTAGAAGTCAAAAGTATATTTAAGGCTCCGAATGCGATAACGAGCGAAGACAACTTACACGCAAACTGATATAAAACCTACGCGTGAATTGTGGGCGATGAATGGAGAAGAGATGAGAAAGGGAATGAAACATAACACCAGACATGTCTTCAGATTTATCAAAAAAGACAGGCATCAAAAGCCCAAATGTTAGAGGTCGAGTTACAATATTTCCAAACAACCGAAATGGGAAATCGACACAAGTCACCAACTTGAGATAGTGAAAAAGACTAGTAGCTCAGGTGGAGTTTAGTTTTCTGAGCTGGATGGTTTGGTCGCGAAGCTTTCATTGTTCTTCTAAACAACATAATCAGTACAAACTCTAAGTAGGAGTGAAGTGTTCGAATTTTTCGACATGACTCACAGCTTGTCCTGTCGACCTCGACCATGCAGCTCAAAGAACAAAACTCCACCTAGGTCCCCAACTCTTAGTAAGGTTAAGGAAGCTATAACTAACTTGAATCAAAGGAAAGCAGCATAACATAACAGGCTGACTCCATAGATTTTTAGGGATGACGATGATCGAGATTCTGTCGCTTTCTTATACCTTTTCAACGATTGATTTACCAATACCTATCAACTTAAAGTAGACAGACGATATAGTCCTATTCGGTGAAGACGGTGACATAATCCAGTATTTCGATCAGCTTGAGAAAAGATGTGAACATGTTCGGTGTGTGCTTCTCGCCCTCCAAATGCAAAATGTCATCAGGATGAATTTGGATCGTCGCCTGCTTTGATCATAGTAAGTGAAGTAGTTGAGTATGTTGACCACTCCACTTATATCATAAGTCTCGTCAACCCTGGTAGTTTGGCGTCCACAACAGTCTCACCACGCATTCACAAAGTCCTGTTGGCTTCCTCTGATTTGCGTTGTGCTGTAAACGAGAGGTCCATCCACTCGCCAAATGACAAGTATAGTACGAAGCGATTCGCTTTGTACTATTCCGTGGACATGAAACATGGTCTATGAAAGTAGAAGACGCGCTCAGGGCGCAGGTTGTGTAACATGCCTTCGAAGTATTCCTCGTCTATCATGGACCGACAGAGTGAGTGATACTGAAGTTAGGGATACGGCACCAAACAAAGGTGGCAAGTTAGTTGATCAATATGTAGATCTCCATAGACTGAGGTGGTTGAGATATATATTGCATGTCTGCAACCACTACCTGTTTCGACAGCCGATCTTTGTCATCGTTTCTAATTAATTTATTAAACACGTTTTCGGTATGAGCCACGCTAAGTGTAAGAGCTAATGATATTACCCAGTTGCCCAAACAGAAGTAGGAGGGGCGGGGTTCAAATCTAGGATTTAGTAGCCGAAAACCGAGGGTCTTAAAACCACCAAGCCACCACTCGTAGTAGGTTGAATTCAAACCAGGAGGAACTAAACCGAGACGTATCGTGAGTCCGCGAAGTCACTTACCACTAATCTGAACAATGTTAGGTGCAAACCATGATCAGTAGCTGGAGACGTTGAGTGACTCGGTCCATAGGGAAATTGTAGTGTTGTAGGTGCAGACACTCTACTTTTTCCTGGGTCTCGAGTTTTAAAAAAGCCTGGGAATTTTTTTGTCCTGAAAATTCCCTATTTCTTTCCGAATAAAACTGTTGATAACGTTTTTTACTGCCATTTATATGACTACTCTGATATTCATCTTCATAACCTTATCCTAGTAAGGCGTGATAACCTAGGCCAATGCACATTTCAGGTTGTATATTGCTTATGACTAACCGATCAGTAGAATTAGTGCACATTTCTAGACTGCTTACTTGTCCATCAATTTCAGTCCAAGTTTTGTGAATGATCATAAATAACTGCTTTCAAAAAGGAAACATACAGACGTAATTGTATCAGGTTGTAAATATTCACGCCGAACTGAGAAAACTATCCTTCAAAGTACTTTAAAATCTCATTCGAACGAACTAACAAGTGTTTACTAATCACATCTCAGTTGTACCAATCACTAATCTGTTTGGCTTAATCCAATAACCGATACCAACCTTATGATGAACGAGGTAAACTCATGCGTACATACTTCGTAAATCGAGATTCAATTATTAGGGAACTGTTCTCGTATCATCAATGAAAGTGTGCTCATTTAAATGTGTATGAGGACTTTTCCCTCTTCAGTTTTATAATGATTTGTTAGTGTATTTATGGAGAAACCAATTCTTTAGTTGTCGGAACATGATCTAAACACCCGGACCCAATCATTGAAATACTTTGAAGAAAAGTATCTAAAAGAATAGAGACTTATGGTATCAAAATTAAAATAACATCGACCGAATAAGAGTTACAATCTAATTGGGCTTTATGAGCCTTTATACATAATTCCCAAGATGCAAGGAGATAGTCGTTGAAGACTGATTAGTATGATTATCAACATCCTTTTTAATATTTATTTATCTGAGAACTTATATAATTCCCCAACCCACATATCGATGCTGTATCGCATGCTTTATTCATAAGATCATAGTACAGAAATCAAGTAATGAGATCCAAACATGATACCTGCCGTTAAATAAATAACAGGAAAAATGTAGGAGACTCCTACATAACCACTTGCATACTGGAAAGGTAAATAAACCCGCTATCAGTTTCAGTTTCAGTTTCAGTTTGGGAAGGACAGGAGGCTCGATGGCCTATGTTAGTCCTGGCAATGGTGGTCTCTCAGTTGATCCAACCTTCTTTTGAAAGAGTCGACGGATGGAGCCTCAACCACGTGCTGAGGTAGTGAATTCCACTCGTTGATGATTCGATGGGAAAGTCGATAGTCAGCTGACAAGTAATTTGTTCTCGGCTTATGAACTTTTTTGGAGTGTCCTCGTAAATTCTCTGTTTTGGAAGACAAGAAAAATGAGGGCATGTTAGGTGCAAATTTATCACTAAGCAATTTGTAGACTGTAATCAAGTCGCCTCTAGTTCTGCGATATGACAACGGGAAAAGGTTCAGCTTGGCCAGTCGAGATTCATACGGAAGCTTCGCTATTGCGGGAACCAGCTTAGTCGCCATTCTCTGAACATTTTCCAGAAGCTCTGTCTTTTTTAAAGCAGGGGCTAGCCGCTTGTATGCAGTACTCAAGTTTAGGACGAACGAACACTGTGTACAAAGTCAAAAACGTCTTAGTGTCGACATGACTAAAAGCCCTACGTATTGACCATAACGTTCTAAAACTTTTGGCGGCTATTGCACGGCAGTGTGCAGTAGTCTTTAAGTCTTGACTAACGATAACTCCTAAGTCATTATATGTCTGGACGACAGGTAGCTCAGTGTTATTCATCGTGTATGTATCTGTGCCTTGATGACCGATATGCATCACAACACACTTGGAAGTATTTATCGGCAACTGCCATGTTTGAGACCATTCAGATAACTTCTTCAGGTCATTTTGAAGTTCTAAGCTATCACTCTTACATCGTATCGTTCTCCATATCTTGACATCGTCAGCATATAGCAAGACCGATGATGATAGGAGACAAGGAAGATCATTTACATACAAGAGGAATAGCACTGGCCCCAAAACTGTACCCTGGGGAACTCCACTAAGCACAGTTTCCCAGCTAGATAACTTTGAGTTCACCCTTACTCTTTGTTGACGCCCAACTAAGAAGTCTTTTATCCACATCAATAAATTACCTCCAATCCCGACATGTCTTAACTTATATAACAGCCGGTTGTGCGGAACTTTATCAAAAGCTTTACTGAAATCAATGAAGGCGACGTCTACAGGTAGCTTTTGGTCCTTAAGAGCACACCAGCTTTCACGAGCCACTAATAAGTTAGTGAGACAAGAATAACCTATTCTGAAGCCATGCTGCTTCTCCGAGAGGATCCGGTTTTTATCGAGATACTTAAACAGCTCCTTCCGAATAATCTTTTCTAATATTTTAACAACCACACTAGTTAGGCTAACGGGGCGGTAGTTCTCAGGTTTGTGTTTCGTGCCTGTTTTGAAGACAGGACTTACTATGGCATTTTTCCAGTCTTTCAGTAAGCGACCCTGCGTAACGGATAGGTTAAAGCATGTACTTAAAGGGTTCGCAACGAAGTTAGATAATTCCTTCAGTAGCCTAGGATGTAATTCATCGGGCCCCGTGGATTTACCTACGTCAAGCTTATTTAGCAGACCAAAGACATCGAGTTCTTTAATGGTCACGCTATCCAGTGTATGTATGGGGGGATCTGTATACGCTGACGAGAAGGGCGCTTCTATGGTATACACGTTGCTAAAGTAGTTCGAGAACGCTTGAGCCTTACCAAAGTCGTCCTCCACTAATGATGAAGCAGTACTGTCTCCCCATAGAGCAGGAATATTTCCTTTTCCCCTTGTCCTTTGGTTTATATAGGAATACAAGCGTTTAGGACATTCTATGGATTCCTTAACAAGTTTTTCTTCGTACAATTTTCTAGACTTACGGAGGGTCGAGGCACAAGTGTTCCGAGCCTTTCGATACTGAGATTTTGACTCATCAGTCCCCAGTAACCTAAATCTATCCCACGTTTTCCTTTTCTTACGGAGAAGGATACGGACCTCCCTACTGAACCATGGTGGTGAGTTTTTCGGCCCCTTTGGTATAGTCCAAGGGATGTGAGGTGTGGTAACTTTTAAGTACGATTTTCGAAATGTGTCCCAGGCCGTTTCAATGGAGGACTCTGGGTCTACTGTCCAATCTATTAACGATGCTGAGTGCATGATGTCTGGTATGTTCGCTTTCCAGACGTTGGGTCTGGACTGGACTGACGCGTCCTCATGACTGGCAGTTATATGGAAGTCGAAAGTTAAAACTGCGTGGTCACTTTTACCTAAGGGTGGCATATGGTGGAGGTTCGCAACATCATCCTCATAGTGAGTCAGTATAAGATCTAATAAGGATGATTCAGTGTCCGGGTCGTACCTAGTCGCTTCTTTCACATGTTGCACTAGGGCACATGTGATAACCGCATCAACTAGTTCCTGCTCAAAGGAATTTTCTGACGATTCAGTTCGCAGATTTTCCCAGTCTACCATTGGTGCATTAAAGTCCCCTAGGATTAGACATCGACCACTTTGGGACCAAGTATTGAGACTGCTTAACAGGATCTCATTTGCCTCACAGCTTGGACTGCGATAGACCAAACCAATCAGCAGCTCTTGTCCCTTGCATTTTAAGCGAAGACTAACTAATTCGCATGTCCCACTCTCATGGGATACACTATCGATAATGGTAAATGGGATAGCATTCCTAATGAATAGAGTTAAATATTGCGAACAATTTAAGCAAAAATAAATAATCTGACAAACAAAAGCCAGTAAGACACTCAATTTATATTATTCAATTCATATTCAATTAGGAACACAGGAGGGCACTGTATGTAAGAATAGATAAGAAAAGGTACAAAAAGTATTCAACATCAAACATGTTGTTTCCTGTTATCTTCGTCATATATCTTCTGAACTCCACTTCTAAGAAAGGACATGCGCATATCAATATTACGTATCATTTCCGTAGCTCGTTCCACTTTGTAGGTAGTGAGCGCACGATAAAATAATATAGCGAAAATGACGAAAATGAGCATGGCTGGCATCAAAACAATTGTTGCGGCTATGGCAGACAGGCTACTCACAGACCAAAATTTAACCCAAAATGCTAAAGTTACCACAGCTAAAAATAAAATGATGCCAACCACAGTACTGCAAATCCATGCAACTTCAACAAACCTATAAGGAAAAAACTGATAACCGTAAAAACAGATATCTTACGTTCTTAATCTGTTGTGTGGTGCTTCCTCAATCAAATAACAGTCTTGAGGGACCATGTATGAGTCAATATGTGGCAAAATACAAGTACTTATCATTACAGCCATTATATGCACGACAACCAGAAGACATGAAAGAATCGTGAAAGCAAACAATAATCCTTCAGGTGGTTTACTTTCGCCAACAGCAACCTAAACCACTTATTTACAGTCACTGTTAAAGTAACCTGCAATTCAATGATTGCAACCATAGCGAAACCTGCCAGCAACGCAGACACTCGACTAGTGGCTTTGAGCTTTGCTCGACTCAACTGTAAGTGTCTTCGAGCTAGTGAATATGAATCTGGGAGTACTGAAGTAACAACGTTGTCTGAACTCATTGGAAGTCCTAACAGTAAAAACAAAACAAGTTGAGATTCATAATAAGAATGATTGAACAGAAAACGAGGTGTAACGTTAAGTAATTTATAGAGGATATGAAAATGTCTTTCCTTAATTGGTTGGAAAATTCAAGCTTTATCGGTCGCAACATCGTGACTGTCACTTGTCATTCTAATACACTGAGCAAGATTCAAAGAAAAGATTTTTGACATGAAATATAGTCTGTCAGCTAGGTCAGGATGATTCAGTGGACATAGCAGGGGGATTTAAATGAGAAGAGACAACAGCATCCCTGGGGCAAAATAAGTTTCTCCGTCAAGTAATCAACTTTTAGGATCTACTGCTGAGAGAGTTGGTATCTAAACCTTTAAATGGCTTAAGTTATTGAACAATTGTTTAAGAGATTAGACTGAAGTTTGTTAGTACAGAACAATCACAGGCCTCTGGCACTCCACCCTCAAATCATATATCTTATTATACATAAGAACAGTAGGACCAGTTTCGTAAAACCCAGTGGAAGTTTCGTCACATAAAAATTACGTGAATAATACTATTTCATAATATAGTAAATCTCTCAAATAACTGCTACTTTACTGTCTATATGCGTGTAGGGTTTCATTAGCATTCTACTCTTTATATCTGAGATGTACATCGTAAATATTTACAGATGTTCTCAGATTAAGAATTCTTTGCCCGAAATAACTACTATTTGCGTAACCATATTAACAGATGTATATGATCAAACCAAAAGATACATTGGAAGTAAACCAATTCATGAAGTCACTAGCACTTCGTGAGAGTTGTTTAGGATGGGAACTTTTGCATTCAGTATGCGATACCGCAGATGAAAAAATATGAACCAGTCCTATTTCCAGTCGTGAGCAAACATACTTAATACTTGTCATTAGATCTTAAAGACGCGTCTTTGATATTTAATGTGATACGCATATCACATAAGCGTATCCATATATAATATATATGGACTTGACAGGTCATTTAGTTTTCTATGTAGTGAAAATGAAGAACAGCTTCCATAGCTGTCTGGCATTAAGAAATTGTTGAGTGTTTTTGTTGACTTCGACTGTGAGTACTAATTGGATTAGCATAACATCATGATACTTAACTGTGTCAGATCTAATGTCTCAACGGTTCAATAAACTTACAACGTGATACACCCATATTTAATAATGAAAATAAAAGACAGCAGTTAATAATGCGCAAATGACGATTTACAACATGTCATCATGAACATGTAGAAGTTGAAATCTGTACTAAAGTGTCTTTAATTTGTTCATCATTTGTGCATGAGATATTTAAACATGTTCCAAATTTATCATACTTTGAGGCGCGAGTTTTGAAACAACAGTAATACGTTATGGATTCGTGAAGCATATTACGTGGCCAAAGGCATAATCACAATGGGTTAACTTGATTTATTTCATTCAACGAACGATTTTTAACTCATTCGTGTTCTA